AATAGAAGATTCCCCGACTAACAATCATCGACGAAACACCAGTAGTAAAGTAAAACCCGTTTCTTATCCTTTATTTTTTTAGCATGGAATTAGCATCGATTGAAGAACGAAAATATGAACTACATTCTGCTTCTAATTACATTCCAAGAATTGGATCAGAAAACAAAGCATAAAAAAAAACGACTAGAATACCTTGAATACTTGCTTTCGGTTTTGGATTCAGATTGCTGAAAAATTCCCTTCTTGCTGTGCTTTTTTATTGATCAAAATCCCCCTTCTCAAAAAAAAAATACAAATGTTTCTTGCTATTTTCTCTGAGATTTTCGTGTGATTCCTTTTGAGCTTTTTCTGGTCTCGTCATGCCCATCCCCCCTCCTACATCGTCTGATATTTATACACAAAAAAATGACATCTTTGTGTCCTAATCAAACTCTACTACTTTTGTTTGTTGGTGATGGAATCCTACTAAAACACGTTCATTGGTGTTGTTGATGTTGGCTCCGTGAAATGAGGGAGGCGTTATCTTAGGCGAGGGAAGCTTGCGGCGCTGGCTTGGACGAGGTGGGGTTAGGGTTTCTGGCAACCCTGAGTCTGCACGGGTTTAGCTTGGAAGCTGTTGCTGGGCCGCACACGTGAATTTGGGTCTGCCAAACGGGCTGCTGGGATGTTGATGTATTGAGCCTGTAAATGTCAAAATATATATATATTCATTAATAAATAATAATATTACATATATAATATATATAATATGTATACATGTATGTTCCGGTCAAAAAAGTGTGTCTACAGCTTGCATGCTGGGAATGGTTTTAGTTCTTTTGTATTCAATTCCTATTTCTTTTTCCGTGTCTATAAATTTTTAATCGTTATCATATGAATGTCATATACATTATACACAGCAAACATACAAATATGCATGCATATTAATTATTAAAAAAAAAATCAAGAAATCTCATTTCTATGTAGCATTTTTTCACTGCTAACTAATCTCTGAACCCTTTTTACAAATACTTGAGGTCTCTAAAAGAGTAATTTTAAAAAATTTCACCACATTGTAATTATTTGGTAGCATGAGATGGTAGGATGTTGTATTCAACATTGTAATTATTTAATTATTCATCGAAATTTCAATGCAATCTATTGGGTTTGGGTACCATGTGGGTTTGGAATTAATGAATTTGTAATGGGTTTTAATGTAATTAGATCCAATAATAGTTTATTGGATTACTGAGTTTTGTAATGGATCTAACTGTTAGATATTTGTAATTGTACATGACCCCATATTAGCAGCCCCATTGGCCTCTATATAAATAATTGCACGACAGTTTAAAATATATTATTTTTTAGATATTTAAATAAAAATAATATATTTTAAATATCTATTTTCCAAATAAAAGACAATGACGGTAAAAATGTTTGAATATTGTGATAGAAACAAAAATTGTTCATATAAAGTACACCAATAAATATTTTATAATTTGGACGTGTCGAAGACATATATTATCATTACCATTATCACGACCATTACCATTACCATTACCATTACCACGACCACGACCACGACCACGACCCGAGACGAGACGGACGGCGGCGGCGGCGCGCGAGAGTCCCCCCTTGTTCTCTATCACTCAACAAAGAAATGAGAAAGCCAAACCTTAAATACTATTCCCAATAGTATTTCTAATACTATGTGGGATTTGAGTATTACCAACACTTGTTCCCAATACTATGTGGGATTGAGCCTTAAATAGTGATATTATTTTTGAATGTTTTGCTTAAAATTGCAATAATCGCGATTGATTGTAGATTGACTTTTAATTATGACATATTTAATCGTATAATACTAATGCAATTGGTTGCTAATTCAGTTGTTTTAAGGTGTATGATTGTTAATTGTTTCCTGAATAATCACATTGTATTTGAAACAAGTGTTGGTAATGCTCAATCCCACATAGTATTGGAAACACTATTGGGAATGATATTTAAGGCTTGGCTTTCCCACTTCCTTGTTAAGTGATAGAGAACAAGGGAGACTCTCGCGTGCCACCGCCGTCGCCGTCATCCGTCTCGGGTCGTGGTCGTGGTTGTGGTCGTGGTAATACGTGTATTCGACACGTCCGCACGGATACTATCTTTTTAGAGAAAATTCTTAAGAAACAAAATCTTTTTTTTTAACTATCGCAACGACAACTGTAGACTATCGCAACGACAACTGTAGATTATCGCAACGCGAAATGGAAAATCGCAACGCGATTTTCAACTATCGCAACGCGAAATGGTCAAAATCGTATATTATCTATGATTTTTGGTCACTGAGGTTATTTTCTCATTTTTTAATGCCTTGGTATAAACGAACTGAGTCGAGCTCGAGTATTGCTGAGCTCGGCTCGATTTGAGAACTTTAAAATAGAGTTTAACTCGAAAACTTACGAGTTAAAAAAATTTAAACTTGACTCAAACTTGAAATCTTGAACTGAAGCTCGTGAGCAGCTCGAAAAAGACTTGAAATGAAAAAAAAATCTTAAACTTAACTTGATTGAAACCTTAAACTCAAACTCGAACCTGAATCTTAAATACATGAAAATCTTATTGTATTTTAAAAAAATCAATACATATTAATATTATTAATAATTTATTTTTTTAAAATAAAATCTTAATATATTATATTTTCGAGTTGTTCACGAGCTTTTCGAGTCGAATATCAAGTAGCTTATTTTGGCTCATTAAGAACCCGAGTCGAGTCAATTCGATCCGAATATTTATAAATCCTTAATCAAATCGATCTCGAATAACTCGTAATCTGTCTCGTCTCATTTACATCCTTAACCACAACCTTTTATATCTAGATTGCCCAATCACTCCAATCATTCATACTTTAAGAACGGCAAGGATAAAATTTTTCGTTTCATTTTGAATATGATCAGACGCTATCATAATGAAATTTCATTTCAATTTAGAAATATTTTTATTCGTTATGAATTTGATTTATATTAATTATAATTTAAAAATATATAAAAATTTATTTTTATAATTATTCTAGAACAAAATAAGATTGATTTTATCAAAAAAAACTTAGGGTGTGTTTGTTTACCGTAATTGGAATTACGAAATTGGTTTTCCCCGAATTCCCGTGTTTGTTTCTCGTAATTCGTTTTCCAGAAAATATTTTCCCGTGTTTGTTTCACGTAATTCGTTTTCCGGAAAATGTTTTCCCATGTTTGTTTAACGTAATTGGTTTTCCGGAATGTAATTCATTTTCCTAGTAATAGAATTTCATTTGTGTTTTCTGTAAAATGATCCGTAAGTTATTCTCCGAACTTTTCACTTCAAAGAATAAATACTCAAAATAATTGTATTTTATGAATTTAATATTAATAAAATATTTTAATATCATTTTCATCAAAATATTATTTATTTATTTATTATATTATAATAATATATATTTTAATATTATATAAAATAATCAATTATATTATATAATATAAGATATTATATTTTTATTTTAATATATATAATAAAAATTTATATATTTAATAATGAATAATATTATTATATATTTAAATAATATTTTAATAAAGATATTTAAAATATACTAATTAATATTTTTAAAATATAATAACACTATTACTTTAATAAATAATTAATATAATTTATAATATTTTATTTCACTAAAATATACAAAAATATTATTTTTATTAATAAATATAAAAATAATATTTAATAATAAATATTATTTTAATATTTTAAAATAATAATATTAAGTTTTATGATAAATAATATTATTTATTACATTTAATATTTGTAATAAATAATTTTTAAAAAACTCTTCAATTAGTGGAGAATGGTTTAAATAACATTTTTCAAACATCATAAAACGTTTTCCAAATATTTTTCAGAAAAATATAATTCATTTTACGGAAAACATTTTTCGAAAAATGTTTTCCAAAAATGTAATTTATTTTCCATAATTCAAAATAATTCAAATTCCAGTAATTCATTTTCCAGTTCTAGTAATTCATTTTCCGGAAAACCAATTACAGCCAAAAAAACAAACCAGTAACATTCAAATTTTATAAAAAAATAAATTTATTAAACTAAATAAAATTAAAGTTCTAGTAAACTAATTATTTTAGGTAAACTACACATTTAGTACCTTAACTATTAGTTTTATTTCATTTTAATACCTCACCTTTTAAAAATTGAACAAACATTATTAATCACTTAACTATCTTCATAATTCTATTTTGGTCACTGAAAATTAAAAAGTTTTAACTTACTTTCAAATTGTTCATGTTTTAATCACTTTAATTTATTTTATTAATAATTTTTTTGATATGACATTTTAATTTTTATTTTATTAATATATAATAAATATAAAAAAACACATTTAAAAGTTAGAGTGATTAAGTTAGGAAATTAAATTAAAAAATAAAACTCCAATGATCAAAATAGAAGTGAGAAGATAATAGAGTGATGAATGATGTAATTTACTAATAAAAAATTGTCATGTTGTAACAGTTTGACGACATATCAAATGAAACAAAAAGAAAACCTTAGATATAATTTTGAAACAGATGAAAGTTTAATTACTAAAATAAAATAAAACTAATAGTTTAGATACTAAACATATAATTTATCCTATAATTTTTTTTCATCCCATTCATATTTCAACGAAAAGAACAAAATAACATTCAATATTATCATCAATTCAATCATTAATGCAACCTCATCTACTCAAGAACAACAATTTGGTTTAGACTTGTGAGTTGGAAAATGCCATGTAAATTAAACAGAGCCGGGCAGAGCAGTCTTCCTTCCCTCAAGGGCACGTGGAAAAGTTTCCTGGAATATCCCAAAAGCTTATAGTTTAATTCACAACTATCAACTTTGAAGTCCAAATTATAGTATCCATGGACTCATTTGGAGGTCGACAACCTTGAGGGAAAGAGGTTTGACAAGCTTGCCAATCAGAAGTAAGATCAGTGTGGCCGGTAAAATTTGGAAGATCAAAACTTGTTTGCCATCTCAATCATTTGACTTGTTATGTTCACACTAAAAATGTTGGGGACATGCAATTAATATATAAACAAGGCTGTGGAGTGTGTAAGGAAGCAGGGCAAAAAATGGGTGATCAAACGGTGAAGAGTGAGAAGGAAACAATGGAGAAGGAGGAGAAAATTGCCGTGGCGAAAGTTGATGAGCCTGAAATCAAGTATAGAGGATGGAAAGCCATGCCGTTTATTATAGGTAAACTTTGGTTATTTTTGTTTTGGTTCTTTGGGATGTTGATGGAGGAATGAATCATTTTCATTGCAGGGAATGAAACTTTCGAGAAACTGGGAGCCATTGGTACCTTAGCCAACTTATTGATCTATCTCACTACTATCTTCAACTTGAAGAGCATTACGGCTGCAACTATGATCAATGTCTTCAATGGAACCGCGAATCTCGGCACCCTGGTCGGAGCTTTCCTCTGTGATACTTACTTCGGTCGATACAAGACCTTGGGATTTGCCACTTCTGCTTCTTTCTTGGTAAAAAAGACGTTCCCCGAACTGGAAATTTGACAAGTTTAGTTTTTAACCGATTTTAATCTGTTGTTTTTGGATTCATGAAGGGGTTGCTAGCAATTCAACTAACAGCAGCTATCCCGGAGTTGCATCCACACCGGTGTGCGGCGAAAGGGGGTGGCGAATGTGAAGGGCCAACGAGGGGTCAATTTGCGTTTCTGCTGGCGGGTTTGGGGCTGATGGTGGTGGGAGCTGGGGGTGTTCGGCCGTGTAACTTGGCATTTGGGGTGGATCAATTCAACCCCAAAACAGAATCTGGAAAGAGAGGAATCGATAGCTTCTTCAATTGGTACTTCTTCACCTTCACTTTTGCTCAGATGATCTCGTTAACCCTCATCGTCTACATTCAATCGAACGTGAGTTGGGCTATTGGCCTTGGGATTCCGGCGAGTCTCATGTTTATAGCTTGTGTTGTGTATTTCGTTGGTTCCAAAATATATGTCAAAGTTAAAGCTAGTGGTAGTCCAATGACGAGTGTAGCACAAGTGATAGTGGTAGCCATCAAGAAAAGGAAACTGAAACCTGTGGAGCAACCTTGGCTTTCCCTTTTCAAGTATATCCTCCCAAGTCTGTCAACTCCAAGATTCCCTATACCGACCAATTCCGGTAATCGGACTATGATTTGTGTTCGACAATAGTATCCCATACATGCTTGTATTCGATACTGACTTGGTATCTTTGTTTCTTTATCAGATTCCTTGACAAAGCAGCGATTGTTACGTCTGAAGACGAAATAAACGGTGACGGATCGGCAGCGGATCCATGGAGACTGTGCAGCTTGCAGCAAGTGGAAGAAGTGAAATGCCTGTTTAGAGTGCTTCCTATATGGGCTTCACAAATCTTGTATTGTGTTACACTTATTCAACTGCATACATATGCTGTCTTCCAAGCCGTTCAGTCTGATAGACGACTAGGAAACACCAACTTCAAGATCCCGGCAGCATCGTATGTCGTCTTCATGATGCTTAGCCTGACCTTTTTCATACCCGTATACGATCAGCTCATCGTCCCGTTTCTTCGAAGAATCAGAGGGAAACAAGTGGGTATTACAATTCTCCAGAGGATCGGAATTGGGATATTTGTCTCGGTATTCACCATGCTCGTATCAGCAATGGTCGAACAACATCGGAGAAACACAGCTCTCTCGAAACCGACTCTCGGAGTCGTTCCACGAAAAGGCGCCATCTCATCGATGTCAGCCTCGATTTTGATCCCTCAATTCATCCTCGGTGGACTGACGGAAGCGTTTGCATCCATCGGCCTATTCGAATTCTACTACAAGCAGTTCCCGGAGAACATGAAAAGCATAGGAGGGTCTCTATTCTATTGTGGCATGGCGGCTTCGAACTATTTCAGTAGCTTGTTGATCTTAGTAGTTCATCGAACTACAGACGGCACGGCCGCCGGAAACTGGTTACCGGAGGATCTCAACAAGGGAAGATTGGATTATTACTATTACATGATTGCTGGGTTGGGAATCTTAAACCTGGGCTACTTTTTGTTATGCGCAAGATGGTACAAGTACAAAGGAAACGGTGACGACGACACCCTTGAGCTTGAGCTTCATGTTAATGGCGAAAAACAGCACTCGGATAAACCTTAAGTCTCATGTTCGTTAAGATTCAAATATAGATGAATAGATTTCAAAACCCAACTTTGTTTAGCCTTAGATTATAATATCCAGCAAGAATATTCTATGTTGCTTTGACAAGTTTCTACAAAACAAAAGAAATAAAAAAACAAGTTGGAATCCGATTCATTTATATTATTTTAGGATAATACATTGTTTGGTGAAATTCATTTTTTATTTTACTTTTGTTAATTTTTAGTGTTAACTTTGATATGTATATCCAATATTATGTGTTACATTTTACATTTTTGTTGATTTTTTATTAGATAAACAAAAACAAAATGATATTTTTTTAGGAAAAACGGAATTTGATTGCGCAATTTAATATTAAAATATATTAAGGCAAAGAGGGAAGACTTAGGAGACTTTGATTGACAAACAAGGCGGTCGATCATTCAAGACATTTTATCGTGTTGTTGGCCTTTCACTTTCGTTACATAATTGTATAATTTGGCCTTTCATTTTATCGTTTTTATGAAGTGTTTATAATTTTTATCGACTTTAAAAATATATTTTATGTCAAAAATATGGAGATCTTAGGTGATTGTACTATATTTTAGAAAAATTCTTTGTAAGAACTCGAATGAATTTTAACTAGTTTGAGATTTTTTTTAAAAAAGTTATAATTTCACGACTCTTTTGTAACGAGTGATATCTTGATAGAATTATTATTTGTTTGTTTTTTATGATTTTGATTGATGTTGTGATTGTGATATGTTGAAATTTAACATTGATGATTTATTTATATAAATTTAATACATTGATTGTGTCTAATCAATTTATTTACATATATGTTTTAAATATTAAAATAATAAAGATTAAATGATAAAAAAAATTAATCTCCAACATGTTCAACATTAAAACGTTACACAAATACAATTCTTAATATTTACAAGTGCTTCATCTACAATTAACTTTTTTTTATTACAATAATTTATATATTTTAAACATCTTTATAGGGATTATTTTTCCCCTGGCAACTAAGACTTAGCGTTGATTAATTCGGATCGAATCGAGTCCACACTTAATTTCGATAAGGGAGTCTCCTAACGAATTTTTTTTACAAATACAATGACTCGAATTCGAAATATATTAAGTAATTCTAAATTACTTTCCACTTGAACCAATCTCATTGATCAGTGATTACAAAAATATGCATTCGTAAATATTAAATAAATACAATCATAAAACACTTTTAAAATAAATAAATAAATACGGACATTATATTAGAAGTTTAAATAATAGACCTCAATTTATTTACATAGCTAAATATACTATCAATTTAATAGTATTTAATTTTTAAATTACTTTGTCTTATAATAACTTAATTATTTTGGATAAAAAATAAGATAAAAAGCTGGCGACTGATAAAGACTAGTCGGTATTGCATTAACTTTAGACCAACTACTTTGGATTTCGAAATCTGGGATGAACATGTGATGTCAGCAATGACCACTTTATTTTTCATGAACAAATATCCAACCCACCTTCATTACTCACTCCCTACTGTTTCACTTAACTCGTACACATTTAGACTACTTCCCTAAAGAAGCGAAGTCAAACTTGGTCTACGACTCTCCTCATCTCCATTCATCGCACACAAATCCAATCATTCATGACATAATTCTCTTTATGAGTAGGATCATATCGTACCATAATTATGTTTGCTGTAATTGCCACTTACAAATGCAGTTCACATCATGATCATGTAATTTCCCAACAGTATGGAACTCTTGTTATTTCCCCAACAAACTCCCAGCTGATTTTCCAGAGTTTGTTTTTTGATTCGACAAACAAGAGGCTTAAAATCAAAATATAAACATAAAATGCCAGCACCAGTAATAAAAATATATGTTCATAAAACCTAAACCGCAGCACTCTAATCCCGCAATGTTTCCCGTCTCTCGTTATCAAAGCAGAACGTGCTGTTTTACTTTCTTACTGCTTTCTCCTTTATGTATATCAAGACTGTGCCTTTCCATCATTCCTCTTACACTGTGTAAGATTGCTGGATCGTGTCGATGTCGAGGTTCTTCAATCTAACCACCGATTCGACGTGACCTTTCAGTGTGTGCAGTTCTCTCAACCTGGAAATCGGTAGAAAATAAAGTTAGATATGATAGTGCGTCAAAACTTGTCTCGAAATAGAATATTTCGCGCACGGAGGGTAGTAGCTGAGCAAAGAAATCAATGAACATCTCGGTACAAGTTTTGTTTACCTAGCGATTTCAGCCCTCCTCTTGGCTTCTTCGGCCATTTGATTGAGCTCTGTGAAATGGGTACGCTCGGTGAACATCTTGGTATCGGGTGCCTGCAAACCATGCAACGTCCTCTGTGCATGAGCCCATTGAAGCTCGCGTTGTTCTTTTCCGAAATCCTTTTGCCTTGTGAATGCAATCTACATAGAAAAAAACGATACCCATTAGCACACACAAGATAACAATGAGGGAGGGAAAAGCAAACATCTAACACATAAGTGGGAAGCATACCCTCTGCTCGATAACAAGATCCCAGGCTCGGCCACTCAAAGCATAGCGAATGAAGAACTTGATCAAATCGAGCGGGAAATAGAATATTAGGTTGTAGAGCCATATCACACCGGCCCAACCCCATCCAATCCCCTCAATTGCAGCAAAGCTCCAATTTGCATAGACAGCGATAAGAGTAGCAATCTATATATAATCAAACGGAATGATCAGTTTTCCCGCTACTTTGCAGAAGGATCAGCAATTCAAATAGACAAAAAACCGACTCACCAACTGAGCCACCACAAAAGCTACCACTAATAGTAAACCCGGACGCTCAACAAAAGACCAGCTTCTAGATCGCGTCACAAATATTAGGGCCTGACTTATAATGCTCACTTGCAAATACACAGCTGAAGCAAGTTTCCTATAGTCGTCATGAGCCGTTTTCTCAAGAGTTGGTACACCAAATATGCGCTGGCAAGTTAAAACAATTCAATCAACTCTTTAATTCATTGAAAGATCATGACCAATGCTAATATACACAAATTGTTTTACAAACAACCAAACATCTAGTTCAAACTAAAAGCAAATCTTCTAAAACTAAGGCATGTCATCATACCGGGAAAAAGTCAGTTTTGTATGCAGCCCAAAAGAATATAACTGTCATCACTGCCAAGTAACCCCCAAGAACAACTCCAGTAGTAAAAATTTCAGCCAGTTTCCAGCTGTCAGGTAGAGGTGATGGTTTGACCCTGTCCTTAGATATTGTCATAATGGTACCTGGAATTAGATGAAACTAGTTGGTTTAGAAGAAGAGCCGTGCAAAGCTGACAATATAGTACAATAGAGAGAGACACGTCAGCAACAACAATAAGGTTTAGAAGTTCTTATGGAAAAAATCACTTTGTAAAACCGAATGCAACTTAGAATGAGCATAAACGAACTGGAAGAAACATAAAAATCAGTTTTCAGGCGAGAAGATGAATATTTCTTTATCATTTTACTAAGTTTTTGATTTGTTTAGTAATTTTATCATGTAACACTAAAGTCTTCCAAGTTGTTTATAAAAGCGAGAATGAGAGAACAGACCATCATTGAGGATTGCAATGATCAGCACCATGAATGGTGGAAAGTCAAATTTCCAGATGAGAGCCAGAAGCATGAATCCCAACTGTGACATCAGCAGGCAAAGCATATAGAAAATTTAGACATTTAATAATACTTGTTTTGACACCGTTAGCAGAGAAAACAAGAGATGAGAGATGAAAAAATTAGGGGGGGAAACTACTACTTACCACAATACGGATTGTGATAGAAACTGCATAAATCTGCCAGGAAAAAAGACAAGAATAAGCACACTCACAAGTAACCACATTCAGCCGATTAAGAACTCGCCGACTACATGACAAATTTATGATATCACTGCCAAGATCATATAGGTGACAATGTCATTTGTGACATCAGAGGAAATTCTACATAGATCAGGATCGGTGATAACTTACAGTGTAATTTTTCATCCTTTGGAAAATGGCACGACTGGTCAAGACAGCACTGATGATGACACTAAGTCCAGGTTCAGTGAGGACAATGTCTGAAGCACTACGTGCCGCATCAGTTGCATCAGCAACAGCTATCCCGATGTCAGCCTTCTTAAGGGCAGGAGCATCATTAACTCCATCGCCAGTCATGCCACAGATGTGCTTCCTGGCTTGTAAGCGCTTCACTATTTCATATTTGTGTTCTGCACTAACACAAATTAGGGTCAACCAAAGAACAAACTTAGGGAACACAGGAATGAATTTACAACGTCATGAAGAAAATATCAAATATGAAAGAATAAAATACCAGGGAAAACACCAGCAAAGCCATCAGCTTTTTCTATTAGTTCATCAACAGGTAAGGCGGCTATAGATTCATCTTTGTCCTGTCCCAACAAAGCAGATGATGGATACATGTTGGTTCCCATGCCCAAACGGCGACCAGTCTCCTTTCCTATTGCTAGTTGATCTCCTGAGAGAAGTCGCAAGGCTCAGCAACAATGAGTACAAAGAAATTCAAGATACCTCAAAATAAGGGTTCAAAAAGTTCTATACAAAATATATATAATCCCAATGGAGGAGGATGATAAGCTGCTAACATACGTGAAAACTATAAAATTAAAGATAAATATCACTTCCAAGGGATTACCGCTTCATTACACAAAATCAAAGCCCACCCAGCCTTCCGATACATGGGAATGCTATATCGTTTTTAGAAACTGGAAAACACTTTCTCAACTAAATAGGCAATAACCACATCCGAAGGTAGCTTGTGCTTAACTGACATAAGAAACCCACCTGTAATCATTTTGACGTTTACTCCAAGGTTTAAAGCCCTCCTAATTGTCTCTGCACTATCGTGCCGAGGGGGATCAAAGAGAGGCATGAGACCAATGAACTGCCATGGGCCACCAGAACTCTCCTTCCTTCCATCAGGAACCTCCTGCAGAATTACAAATATGCCACATTTTGATTAGTTCTAATTTGATCATAAAAGACTTAAAGAGAGACGGAAGGT